ATCTGTGAGCTCAGGCTTTTTCGTCTGGCTTTTTAGTCTAATGTTAAGCAAAGTCTGAATTACATGTGTTTCATGGACTCAGAACTTTTCTGAGATCATATTTTATAATTTATACATATTCTCAAGGTTTCTTACTAAAAGGTTAAATCGAACAGATGCTGTTGTATCCTAAAAAGTAATGAGATCTGTTCATGAAAATCTAACAGAATGATTTTCAAGCACCAATCTATTGAGAAACATGCACTTTTTAATTGTGTACCACGTTTACTGGAATAAAAAGAACCATTTAATTCAAATTCTTATTTTTCTCTTTCCCCCCACCAATACATCTTGAAAACTTTAGTTTTTGAAACACTCAATATCCATCTCACTCGTTATTTGACCTGATATATCACACAACCTGAAATAGAAATAAAGACTGGGAAATTAGCTTGTTTATTCCACCTTAGAGCCAAACAACAGTACAAATAATATTCAGAGCATGTACTAGTTACATTAGAACTGCCAATCATGCTTGTTTTGAAACTCTTCGATTTTCAGAGCTGTCAATCATGAGTGTTGTGAAAAAGATGCCAGTGTAGAAATAATGCTTTAAAAGATATACGTAACCTTCATTAACACATTAATAAATAAATGGACTTTACTTATAAAACTGGACTTCAGGATATTACAGAACTGTATACCATTCCTGAAAAATTAAAATATAACTTAATGAAACGAAAAGACTTAGAGAATTTGGCTCTTTAACCAAAAAGGTAAGCATGGTTTGTTTAACCACATGGATTTTATATTTCCGTAAAAAGAGGGATGTTCCTTTTTAAGTATTATGACCACGAGTAGGAATGAGAGAATCAAACTGATCTAAATCTGGGCATTTTAATATTAATTTTTGAAGCAGGCAAAACTGTCAACACATTTCCCTTCTCCACCTTCCCAGTACAACCCAACTTCGTGTCCGCACAGTCATTCATGTCTGAAATCAAACATCATTCAAAACTTTTCCCTCGACCTCACAACCCACAATTACTCGGTCACCCAGGCCTGTTTCTTCTGCCTCCTAAATTGCTAACGAAAGTCTCCTTTCCTGATGCTCAGGCTTATTTCACGTCTCATCATTTCTTTCCAGAAGCTTCCTTTCTGGCCTCCCTAACTCCAGTATATGCTCCACATCACTGCTAGAAAGATCTCACTGAAACACGAATCTGGCCCATGTTACCTGTTACAATATTTTCACGGCTCTTTACCACTTTTGGCACAAAGCCCCAATTTTTCAGAATGGCATGCAAATCCCCTGGAGACCTGGCTCGTGCCCACCTCGCCACTCTGTCATCCTTCCTCCGAAACTTCAGCCAACGAAGCCACTCGAGTTCCCAGGACAGCCAGGCTCCCCCTCACTTAAAACTTCCCAAGTGTGGCTCCCTCCTATTTTCTGCACTTTGTATCTGCTGCCCATCCCTGACAAGTCAGTTCCACTGTCAGCTCCTCTGCGAAGCCTTCTGACAAGCTGACAGATTCACGCCCCCTCTGCTCCGGTCCGACAGAACACGGGAAGCAGAACTCGCACGGAGGGCCGCTCATTTCCTTCTCTACCCCTGGACTGGGCCATCAGCTCCCTGAGGGCAGGGGTGTCTTTCATTTGAGCATCGCCAGTGTTAAACACACAAGGCACATAACAGCGCCTCCTGAAATATTTGTTGACGCAGTGAGACACCGCGCCATAGTTTATCTAAAAATAAATAAAACCAGCAGCTTAATTCTTGAGACTGATAAAATGTATCTTAGGTACATTCCAAGCCAACCAAACTAATCAATGCCATAAAGCAATATTTTGGGCTTACCAATGATCCTAAGGAATTTACTGACTTATTTACAAATTCACTGTAAGAATTGGCACCATCTCAAATAGCACTTGAGTTTCACTAATCAGGTTTTCTTTCCCCTGCTGTTCTGACTGGAGGTGTTAAGGTCTCAACCATGGTAACTGCTCACGTCCAGGACACTCAGCACCTCGACTGGTTCAGCAGACACGGTTCTGATATGTGACCAGCCCTGTCGAGGGCATCAGTGAGCAGACAGCCAACACGAGCACGACCCCAACACAGCTACACTTCACTTATCAGGCAGTTAGTCATCTGGTGACATCGAGCCTCCACAGAACCAATGAGAAGTCAGCAGATTTAGGAGCTGCCGAAACACCTGTTGAAGTCCATGCACTAAAGTACACACACTTCCTTGCAGAAGAGGCTGTGAGGTCCTTACTCAAACACAAGTAGTGCTCCTTTTTAAGTACAACAAATGTGGTGACCAATTTCCCAGACATCAGAATACTAGAAGAAATTATGAGATCTAAAAAAGCTGAAAATGCAGACACAGGCACAACAGCAGAAAAAAAAAGATGAAACACAAAAGCTATAACTGGGGGGTTATGTCGTTAAGCAGTAATTCTATACATCTGAACTGATACAATACAGAAATTAATGTTTACAATTATGATCTTGGTCATCAAAAACAAAGACAAAAACAAAAAACAAAAAAAACCCAGGTTAAACTACTGGGTTGTCGGAAAAGTCATGACGTATTTTTTTCTGTTTTTCGTTGCAAAAATGTGTCATGACTTTTCCAATAATCCAATATTTTAGGTCTAACACGATTCAAAGAAAGTAGATGACATATCTTATTTTAAAAAGTCAAAGAATTAAAAATTAAGTATTACATGTAAGGAATCAACTTTCCACTATTTGCAGAATAAACTTTTTTTGAAATATATCATTCCCAAATAACAGCATGGCTGCTGACTCCATGCTAATCATTGTTCGATATTAACCAGTTCCTGTGACCACAGGTATCACGTAATTAAGAGCTACACATCCATTCCAAAACAAACCCTGTGCCGCTGGTCATTAGCTTATTGGTGGTAACACTGTCCAGTCATAATATGGACACCACACCAAGGACCACGGTGTACCATGGTCCTTGGTGTACCATGGACACCATCGCCAAGGACTTTATAACAGGTGACCCACCGTTCTTTAACAGACCTCTGTAGAGCTTTACCATCACACTGCCTTCAGGGTCCCTGCTATGAAACTGGTTCACGTGTGAGGCTGCTTTAGGAGGTTTCTATGACACATTCGTAACTACGCATGGTAAGATTCGGAGAACAGCACAGCAGAGTGAAAAGAACATTTACAGGTGTTGGATACACATAGCCCTAGGTCTGCGTGCCTGCCTTGGTAATGATCAGTTGTATGACCGTGGCACTTAATTTATACTTGGAAACTCACTGTCTCCATTTGGAAAATGGGGATAATATCCTCTCCTTTCTAAGCCTCTTATGAGGAATAAACTGGACAACATACATACAGTGCCAATGTAGGTTTTCAAACACTAGCTGTTAGGGTTATCAGATGGGGATCTGGAAAGGGGTCTTGATCCACACTAGGACAAGTTTTGGGAAATTGTGTGCTGTATTAACAAGAAAAGAAAAAATGTCTAAAGAAAAGGGCGCGCAGATTCACACAATGGACAAAGTGCTTATGTTTTTAAGCCTTATGACTCACAGGTTGGTTCATGGAAAAGCAGGTCAAAGTGAGGACTCATAAGAAAAGTATACACGTACACTGTAAAAACATTAACTTAGCAATTAATGCAAATACTCTGACACACGGCCAGGCCTTCTCGCTGAGCTTGGCACTGCTTCCCTTACGCAAACACCACCCCTACTGCAGTGTCTGGGACAGCCAGGCTCAGTCACTTGAAGACAAAACAGGAACAGAAGGACGTTTGAAAAGCAATTCCTTCCAGGGTTTTATGCTTTCTCCCCAGGCTTATGGTTTACTTGATCAGACTAATTCAACAGCAATTGTTTTAAAAAAGATCATCTCTCCTTTATGGAGTCTTTCCAAAAATTACCTTTTATAAGAACAAAAACCCTTTCTGTACTCACATTTTATTAATTTATGCCATAATCAAATAAATTACTTAACAAGAATATAAATAGGCTTTGGAACAAACACAACCGGTTTTTGCTAAACAGACACCTTAACTGGAAGAAGCAAAAGTGCCCAGGTCTAGTACAGAACTACTAATTTCTAATTTTCCATGTAGTGTTGGTATCAGTCAGTGGATTTTAGAGAACAGAATGTTGATTAATTTAGCAAGTCAGTTAATGCAAAGATAACTGCCAAAGAAATTAGTGCCACAGTCATTCTGATGTGTTTCAATCTGATTTCTGATTTCAAGTCATAGCTTATATGAAAGAAAAATATATATAAAAGTTAACTTTTGAGGTTGGTACTGTAAGCATTAGGTCTCTTCCAAACCTCCCAATTCTCCAGATTCACTTATAATATTTCTATTTTGTACTTCGCGCTAACTAGGTCACAATAGATTGATCATGCTTAAATATATGGTTGTATTTGGAGTGTTACTATTAATTCAATGTCTTTCTAGAATTAATTTTTCTTTCAAAAGTTTTTCAAACTTTTTATTTTTTCGCAGTAAAAAGAGTCACCACCACTCCACACACACAACAAGGAATTGCTAAGTTAGAAAGTTTCTCCCCCAAAATAATATATGTAGGTAAGAGCTGTAGTTCTTATCTTCATAGCCATCGGGATATGTGTAGGAAAAGAAGTAACCACACTATTCAGGTTAAATCTTGGTGGCGATGAACTAACTACTCCCTTTAGCACGCTGTTAGAAATAAGGCTGCCAGCCTGCAGAACCAGAGAGGAAGAGGGCTCAAGCCTTGACACTTGTTTATCATTTTGGGGGAGGGGGGGGCGGGGAAAGGATGAACATTTCTATCTTCCCCAAAACTCTTCTCGCTGCTTTGCAAAGACGTGAATCTGGCCTAACTTGACTAACTAGCATTAAGAAGCAAAATAAGCAGAATTTCCATTGTTTCAAAAAAATCAACACTTAAAGTCCAATAATACTTTTGAGGGACCCCAACTTTAACGAACACGCTTAAAGGACCTGGAAATGATTCTACTTACTCTCCATCCACTTCTGGTCTCTTACATACACAGTGAAACTTGCCGCCAAAGTCTATATAAAGGTCGTTCTCCACAACGTGGAAGATTCGTCCAATAACTAGTTTATCCTTGGCTGGTCCCATCTGTGTGAGAGGAGAACGTCTCAGCATAGACGCAAAGGATTCTTCGCTCTTCAGAGAGCCCTAAACACGAAAAGAAATACTCAGATGCATATAGTTCAGAATAAAAGCATAATAAGATCTTACAGGGAAAAACTGTAAAAGTCATCTGCTGTGTGTTTACATTTTATAGCAATAATATGATACATTTACACGGAATTTTGCTTTAAGACGTTAGGCAGACTCTTCAGCTTCCTCTTCCTCCCTTTCCTTCACGAAGAGGAGCCAGAGGAAAAAGGCTTCCGCGCATGGTGGGGGCGGCACGGGTGTGGTGGCCCCCGAGTGGGACCTGGAAGGTCCCCGCAGCGGGGAGGCTGGGAGCCTGAGTACCTGAGAGGCATCCGAGAAGCCGTGGTGGACTTGACTCCTAGCACTGCCCATCTGCAAAAACAACGCCTGCGAATTCCCGTTCAGTGAGATTACTCTTGTAAGACAAATTTCAACAACACATTAAACTAAAAATGATTAAGGGTCCCTTCAATTAGAAGGCTGAACACGAGTTCTCATTATGCAATATTTTCAAATGCCCTGACTTTGTTATAATTGTCTTCTTTTTCCTAAAGTAAAATTTCAAAGAAAAACAAAGCTTCTTTAATTGTTTTGTACTGCTCACTTTCTAGGAGTCTTTTTAATATTCATTTTCCTTGAGGTATGGCTGAATGAATAATGCAGGCTGATTACTTTTTTTTTTTTAACATACAGCATTTTTTACAAACACATTATTTTTCAGATATCCATGCATACAGACTTGTGCCTTCAACTCATCTTTAATTCATATGTGGTGTGATGTGAGCACTTTGGCTCAAACTAAAGGAAGTCCTACGTTCCTATTTGTGAGAGCTAATTACAGAAGAATATTAATTTGATCCAACTACATACGTCCTGTATTTGGAATGAGTTTTACATTTGTTATTCAAGCGAGAATTATTAAGCGTTTGATAGTGTACTTACTTAAAAACTACAAAACCATACTTCTGACTTAATGTTAACGCACGTAGTGCTCCAAGAACTATGAACACGAGTGCCAGGCTGGCTGTGGGCTCGGCAGGCGGAAGAGGACGTGCCAGCCTAAGGTACAGCCACTATTGGTGGGGCCAGCTGCTGCTGCAATTCAAGCCCAGTGTTGCCATAACTTTTGATTTTCCAAGAAAAGCCAAAAATCCATATATCGATGCAAAATTTCCAATATTTATATGTTGAAAATAAGTTTTTCATTTTATAAATCTGGCAAAACACATGTTGGCTCATGGGCCAGAAGTTTATGATCCTTGCCTCAAGAAAGTCAAAATGCATTTGGTGGAGGCCAAGTCACTTAGGTGCTGGAGGAGGTGGTGATGAGTTTGTTCCAGCGGGTTGAAACACGCCGGAAGAAATCCTTAGCACATACGGGTCGCTCTAAACCAAAGACAAGCGGTAGACCTAGGTGCCAAATCGAGTTTCAAGGTAGCCAGGAATACTATACTTGGAGCCATCATACGATTAGTGCAACTCCACACTAATCCTAAAGGTCCTTAAACAAGTATCTTGAAAAAATAGCTCTTTCTCGCAGATAGCTAAGGATAAAACACATCCTACAGCTTGACGCAGACATAGCTACGAGCTATCCTCTACAGGTAACGCCAAGCCAGTCATCAGTGATGACACAGCTACTGGGGTCCTCTGCTGGGAGCCATTTCGTCAGCCTCAGCAGCTGCCACCAGGGCGGCTGACAGGGGCGCTGCTCAGGGGAAGGGCAGGCAGGCTAGCAGCTGGAGGGGCTCACACTGCTGGCAACCAGGGAGTCTCCTTCCCAATTTCCCCGTGACCTGCTTTCCGTTATCCCACTCGGGTGGCTGACGGCTCCTCTCTACTCCTCTTACCCCTTCTTTTCTTTGGAAGACTTTCAATTGGGACCAAGTTCTAACTAGAGCAGCTTTAGATAACAGGAAGTTCCAGGAGTAAATACAATAGTTACACCTTTATTGAAGATAATGCAGCCATCACTAGAGTCTGTCCCTAAAATAACATAATATATAACTGAAGAGCTGTGTGGGCTACCATTAGTGTGACCGTACATGGGGATAAAGGGCCTCCACTGAAGCAGTGGCCACAGGAACACAGATGGAACACAGCAGGGTCGTGATCTCCACCTGGCTGCAGAGGAAGGGAACAGGGGAGCAGTGCCGCAGACGTAACAGAGTGAGTTAGCTGTGTACTTGCTGGGTTGTGACACCCATACATTTCAGGGAACACTGGCCCTCTGGTAGGCAGTTAAAAATAGCAGTGCACACATTTATATACATACTTACATAAATTTACACATATGTTTACAGTGATATTATACAGATACAAATTCCTCAAAAGTATCCAATGCTAACTGTAATCATTTCTATATAGAACTATTATTCTTTATGGTATAGAAAATCTGGAATGCAAAGAACACGTATTACTTTTAAAATGTAATCTATATCAAGCATCAAGCATAGATACATTATCACTCGCATGCATATGAGGGCATTTACTATATAGCTTGGAACCAGAGGTTATTATTGCTGAAAGAAACACGAGATATCAGCTAGTCCAACTACCTCACTGTTCAGGTGAGCAGCAAGTACTGTACCTAATATTCAAGGCGACACGATATTCTGAGCAGCGACTCTTGAATACAAGTTGCCTCACAAGATGAAAAATAGAAATATTTTAAAAATTCAAAGGAAGGAAACATACAGCAAAAAAACAGGAATACTTAGGAAACCTAGGCTCTGTGGCCGACTCAGCCATAAATAGCTAAAAAATCCTGAATAAGTCATTTACCCTCTCTCTGGATCTGTCTTTCCATTTGTAAATATAAGGATTGGATACCTATCAATTTTAGTACTAAGAATTCTTAAATATTCTAAAATATAAAAAAGATTTTATAAAATAATATTAAAAATGGAAGACAAATCCTACCCAGCCTCCTCTCTTAATACAAACAATAACAATAAAAATAATGAAGTGGAGCATGTATTTTACTTCATATTAATTAGCAAGAAAAAAATTTCAATATGCATCTTTTCTGACAATTTAAAAATGACTCCCCTTCCATTAACTGTGCTGCAACAATTTTTGTTTCCTCAACACTAACCAATAAATGTCATGCTCATAACAATGTTTTTTATGAAAATAAATGGACTCATGGTTCAAGGTGGCAGAGTGAGTACTTACATTGCCCTCTCTCCCTCCTAAAATCCCATTAAATGATGGCAAAAGAATAAATGAAAAAATTACAAGCCCTCAGTACTGAAGAGAACAGAATGGAGACAAACGCCTACTAGAGATTTCAGCAAGGTTCCCGGGGGGCAGAAAGCACGTGGAGGGGTGGTCATTAACGAAGCAGATGGAAGGAGACCGCAGCTAAAACTACACGCGAAAGGATGAAGCTGTGAAAATAGGTCCCTCTTTTGTGAGGAATCCCGTGAAGGTGTGGGACTCAGTCCTGCCAGGAATCACAGAAGCTGGAATGAGAAGACAGGTAGAAAACAGCAGGAAGAATGAAAAGATTATAGGCAGGGCTGTCAAATTTCCATCAGGCACAAAATACCTGGCAGAAAGGCCAAGTACAAATACCTAGTAATAAGGCATTAATTACCCGGGCAAAATACATACAGTATTTTTTTCACTTCTCTAAAAAAATAATTGAATAAATTATCTAGAGAAGAATTAAGTTTGGGATGATTGGTCATGGAGCGATAGGTAACTTATCTAAGCAGTAAAAACAACAATCAAAATGACGGCTGTTGGGCAACGTGTGAGCAACCAGGCAGGAGGGCTCCGTGGGCAGGCTCGGCCCTGTGACATGTTGTTCCCATCGGGCTCTGCCACTTACCAGCTCCAGCCTGGGGCAGCACGCACCAGCTCTCTGTGCCGCTCGCTGTTCACTCATCTATAAAATGGGTGAATAGTTATACACACTCACAGGGTTGCTGTGAGGACTAAATACATAGCCCTCAAACAGTGCCTAAAAAAAGAAGTGGCTTTGAAAAAAAATTAACCAAGTTCTTATAGGCCCAGTCACACCAAGTTTTACTGACAAACCTAGTAGCTTTCAACCAGGATGGTTTTGCCTCCCGCCACCACCCCTGACATCTGAAACATCTGAATGTCTGGATACGAGTTTGATTGTCATGACTGGGGGTGCTGCCGGAATCTAAAGCATAGAGGCCAGGGATGCTGTTAGACATCCTACAATGCACAGAACTGCCCCCACAACAAAGAACTCTCGGGTCCAAAATGTCACTTGTGGCAAGGTTGCAACGCCCTGGACTAACCGGAGCCGGCAGCACACACAGGCCAGTTATCAGAGCAGTGAGTACACTAGAGACGCAGGCGGGCAGGCCAGGCAAAAGACAAAGCGAGAAGGATTCCAGCACGTCGGGGTGGATGCAAGGGTTCCAGACTGCGTGTGACGGGAGGAGGGCCCAGAAAACCAGGGCACAGGCTGGCAAATAAAGGTACGGGAGGGGTCTGGGGGACACGACCAGGGCACACTGCGATCCAGGAAGGGCTCAGGAGCTTGAGGACTTGAAGGTAAGACCGTTCCAGGTGAAAATGATACAGAAATTATTAGATCTGCCAGTGAAGGAAACTGATGGTGACGGTCTTAGAATGCAATCCTGAAAAACCGCTGTCAACGTGCTGGTCACGTCATCACCGTAATGCTGAGGTCAGAGATGGTTGCAGGTGTGAAGAGGGAGAGAGAAACACGGAGCCACGCGTGGAGGAAGACACTGAAAGGAAGATTTCTAGCAGGGCGTCTTCTCTCACACATTTTCCCCGATCTGTGGAGGGAGGGCTCACGGTAGGCAAGGCTGAACAGAAGGCGCTAGGACCTGCCCTACTACCAAACAAGGACGCCAAAGGCAACACTGCATTCCTGGGGGTGCTGCAGCAATAAGTGCCACTTCCCAGGACGCGGATGATGCAGGGGGTGACGCCCACCACATCCCTATTCAACTTGCCTCTGTGGCCCTGCGGAAAACAGATGTTCTTAGACAATGACAATTGATGATCGTGAAGTTAATCAAGTGGTAACTCCAGTTGCAGCTGTTGCTCCAGATGTGATTTCATGGCCAGAGCAAGTCAAATGTCCCCCAGCACCTGATACGTATGCAGTACCTGAGCTATGAATGCTTTCTTTCTCTAGACCTGCTAGTCGACTCCATATATAGCTCAAGGTTACATGAACTCTGGGCCGTTACACATGCTGACTGGACTTGGAAGCAGAAAGTGCGACTACTGTAGACTCATGGTAAGATGCATGTACGCCAGGGGGTGGGAAGTAACTCCCACAAAGATGCTGGGCCCTGGGGAAGTTCCTGGGGACCAGAGGTCTGAGCTCCCTCAAGATACCCTTTTTTCCCACCGAGAAAGAACCTCAACGCCCAGTGCGTCTCTTTGAATTTTGGAGGCAAAATACCCTGTTTGGACATGCTGCTCCAACTTTTTAACCAAGTCACCCAAACAGCTGCCAGTTCTGAGTGGGGCCAGAACAAGATAAGGCTGAGCACCAGGTCCGGGCTGGTGCGCAAACTATTCTACCACTTGGCCTTCCCGACCCGCAGACGTGTGCCAGGCACTGATGCTGGCAGGCCTCTCCAGGTGACTCGCAGGGCAGAGCTGGACTGGCCCAGACGGACTAGCCTCCCAGTGGGCAAAGCTTTGAGCGGTGCCCCTGAATGATCGCTTCGCCAGGACAGAGACGCGGCCTAAGGTATGAATCGATACTGATTTGTGTGAAATGACTAATGATTGTGCTGGACACTCAGGGGTTTAAAAGGAACATGATTGGAAAATAGATGACAAGAAGGTCTGAGAAAGAGAAATGCAGATAGCCCCCTCTGAATGGACACAGAGTGAGAAAATAAACGAGTCACATGTGAATGATTTGTTCGGCGGAGAAGGATCTTAAGAATCGGGACGAGATAACCAGTCCTGTGGACGTCAGTCAGCCTCTCTCCCCAGCCACTCCTGCCCCTCGGAAATGGGTTCAGGAACAAAGTGGCCACGGCAGCAGGGATGTGCTTCTGTCGCAGGGGTAGGAGGGGTATCTCAGCATGTCCCAGCCCACTGGCCAACTAGAAGGTTCACCAAGGGAGCTGGAGCTCAAATTTTTGTGGGATGGAGGTTACGTATGGATTCTGGAACAATGACTTCTGCTCACTCGTGCTGATCTGATTATAATCACTGCTAAATGACCAACTGCCAAGAGCAGAGACCAATATTAAGCTTCCAGTTGATCAAGTGAACTGACATCTTAAGATGCTTAACCATAGTGCTAGGAGGACTCTGGGTAGAGCTGGGTCCCTTGTCAACTCTATAATTCTGACTTCCCTTTTATCCTTACGGTAGTTTCTGGTGGAGGGATCATAATAAAGGGATTAGCCATCTTGGAACCGGGGTCTTTCTTCTTGCACGTGGGCTGCCGGTTGGAGCCCCGGTATATGAGATGTGCATTCTCGCACTGCAGTGGCAGTTTTCGGTTTGTTTTTTTTTTCCTTTTCCCAAATAAACCGTTTCTTTTGTGGATTACTTGAGAGTTATTTTTCGCCAGTCAACACAGTCTACATCATTCCCTGGGAGGATCGGCTGTGTACCAGTGGATCACACAAGACCATTCTAAATTGGTGTGTTATCACTGAAATAGACACCCACTCTGAATATGGGTTTGCCTTCCCTGCCCACAAAGCATCTACCAAAACAACCATCCATAAACTTACAGAATCTCATTTTCATTATCATGGTGTTCCATACAGCATGCTTCTAACCAAAGAAATCATTTTACAGGAAATTATGTGGGATAATGGGCTCGTAATCATGGAATTCACTGGTCTGATCAGTGCTGGGCCCAACAGACTACTAAAACGATTTTTTAAAATTAAACTTGGTATTTTGAGATCACTGTAAATTACACATGCAAATGTAAGAAACAATACATGGAGACAACCCCTGTACTTTACCCAGTTCCCCCAAGGGTACCACCTTATAAGACCATAGTATAATATTACAACCAGGAAACTGACACCAACACAACCCCCCATAGTATTCAGATTTCACCAGTTGTACAAGTGATCTTTGTGTGTGCGTTTAGTTCACGGTTTTGTCGTACGTGAAAGTTCATGTATTCATCGCCACAGCCAAGTTACAGGAAAGTTCCACAGCCACGGAGACCCATTGTTTTGTCCTTTCTAACTCTCTGTCTCCCTTCTGCCCACCCCCATCCCTAACTCTCAGCAACCACTGACCTGTTCCCCATCTCTATAATATTGTCATTTCAAGAACGTCAGTTAAATGGAATCACACAGTATGTAAACCTTTGGGACTGGCTTTTTGCATTCAGTATAACTCCACTGAGAGAGAGTCATTCAAGTTGATGTGTGCAAAAAATGCTTGCCCCTTTTTATTGCTAAGTAGTATTTCACGGTAGAGATGCACCAGTTTAACCACTGACCCGCTGAAGGGCATCCGGGCTGTTTCCAGTCTGGGTTATTACAAGTCAAGCTGCTGTGAACATTTGTGGACAGGTTTTTACAGAAACGGAAGTTTTCATTTCTCTGGGATACGTGCTCTCTGCCCTGGAGTGCACTTACCTCCTTTAGGAGAACCCAATATCTCAACTAGGCCAGGCTGGTTGCCTACTCCGGACTGGGCATCTACCACTCATTGTGTGCCAGCTGCCAATAGCAGAGTGCTCAAGGCTTTAAAAAGAGGCAAAACCCAAACTGAATCAACACTGTGGAATTTTATTCCCAAATCCCTACAAACCAAATGAGTTTCCTTATTTCCTGCTATTTAACACCAATAGATAAAAAACAAACCGAAGGGTCATAGTGTTACAAAATTAATGTAATTAAAAGAGAAAAATTTAATATAACCTTTAAAAGAAAAAAAACAAACTAAACCCAAACACATTCAAAGAAGGGAGCAAAAATGAGTTAAGAAGATATACAGATAGTAAAAACTAACACTGACGAGAATCCTAAAAGTCTGACTGCATATGATCACATCATATGACCACCCACGAAATAAATATGCGCAGAATGTGTTCACTTTCTTTTAGGAAATGTATGGTATTATATAAGCATATTACTGGGGTTGATAAAAACCTACTTTCCCTAGAGATTTATATCTACTTCAACACACTCTTTCATTGTTTTTATATTAACTGGTCATTTCCTCTAAACATGCCTTGAAAATGTTAAGACTCCACTGTGAAACTAAACATTTCAGAAGATTTTTATTACTAACTCAGAGATAAGTCTCCTAGAATTCTATAATGTAAAAACCAGGGGACACCATAGTTAAAACCAGAAATATTTTTCAACATTCCTTTACATATTAGTTTTTCAAACATTGGTATAATTTTTGAAATTGTCAATATAAAACCAATGAGAAAATAAATGGTTAAATAAACTATATAATATTGCTACTATATCAATTTAGCAGACTTAAAACTTATACTAAAAATATGAGAATTTTTTCCCATATATTGAAACAATCCTTTAAATAAGCTATATTTTGGATTTTTCCAGTATTCTGAATCTGAAAAGAAAAAATATGTGATTTAAATACTCTGTCTCCTGGAATATTCCAGCATTAAAAACAAATAGCAATAAGAAATATTCATTTGTATTCAAGAGAAAAGTTACATTTTAAAAAATATTTGCATAAAATCTAATATATCTCTAAAATGAAACTATAAACTGTGTGATATTGGTATGCTACATAAACAAGCTAAAATAGTAAAATGTTATTCTCCATCTTAAAACAATACTGCATGGCTTTAAAAACTCTTGCAAACCTTATTTTTTCAAAGTGCTAAATATGCCACCCTCTACCGTTAAGACACAGTAATATTCATAAAGCAGAAAACCAATTCTTGGCTCAACTATTGCCACCTGGTGGCTATCAGATGGGTGATCGGCTACAACACAGCTCCCAATTAGCTTAACAGCTTCTACAAATCTCTATTAACATAAGAGGATTAAAGGTGGAAGGGAAGGAAGAAAAGGGAAAAAGCTATCTGACTTAAAAAATATATTTTACTAGGTCTTCTATACATAAATTATGTATTATGTTGGTTACAAAAATGAAAAGGACTTGGTCTCTACCCTCAAAAAAACCAAACACTACTTGAAGAGACAGATGCATAAATCAATATTAAAAGTAATGAACCAAAGGAAAAGAGAAGTGGATAAGTGAGCGGGGAGCAAGGGCACCTACAAACCTGCAACAGAATGGCATTGCAAGTCATTTAAACGTAAGACCCCTGTAAGTAGTAACCTCACTGAAATATTACGATGAGGAATTTATGATGAACTGCCCTTCATTAAATTCCAACCAGTTGGGGAAAGCTCCTTTTAAGGATAACTCGCTTGGCTCTTCCTAAATACCACTTACCTCTGAGGTACACACAGACACACAAGTCTGCACCTTCAGGATATTAATTAAATTAATGGGTACAATTTCAACTTTCATCATTATACACACATATTTTTAAATCCAATAATAGGCCACCTGAGATGCTATTTCTCATGTATAATTACTTAATCACAGAATTGTATAAATTTAATTCCAATTCAAATCAACAAATATACACTCAATCCCTGTGTGTAAGGCATTATGAAAGGAATGAGAAGGGTGAATAAAAAATGACCCCTGACCTCTAGGAACTACAATCCAAAAAGCAGGATAAAACAAATTCACAGATGACTTTAATATAACAAGAGTTGTGTGTGTACCATAAACGTAGTATAAAGCAAAGCTCCCAGATATCAAAAAGAGTTCCATCTGGTTGGTGAGATGACAAAGGCCTAACAGAAGAGGTGGCGTTTACAATTGAACTTGCAAGCAGGGATGCTAATTCCAGGACAACGAGAAAAGTGAAGAAATAGGGATTTGTTTAGGGAACTGCAAACTGTTTATCTTCCAAAAAAATTTTAAGCAGAAACCATGTAACAAATAAAATCTTAAAAACAGCCCCAACATACATATATAACATAAATGTATTATTTTGTTGCTAAAGTGCATTTTATGAGTTCAAATTCATAGCATTTACTTATTATTAGGTAAAAAAATGTGAACATGTAGCTATTTTGATAAAAATCACAAACTGGTATCAGGGGTGAGGGATAACCACCTCAGTCCTCAATTTCTGTATTTTGTTTTCACTGCCCCATATCAAGAAAACCCACTTACAACAATACCCCACATGGGTACCGGGGCAAGGAAATAGGCACTGTCATGCACTGTAACTGGGAAATGTGGTACAAACAGGCTGCATCCATCAAAATACAAATTGTGTGTATGCTTTGTCCCAGGATATATTCCATAAATATTCAACCAAATGCAAATACTCACTGTAGCACAGTCTGTATTAAAGGAAAACAAAAACAAAACCCCAGAAACCACCCAGGAGCTCATTAATGAAACTCTGGTTAAATAAATTATGCTATATCCATACCATGGAATACCACGCAATTTTTCAATGAGGTATATATACACTAGACATATGTAATGAGAAG